TTGTTTAGAATGAAACAGGCTATCGAAAATAAATTTTCAAATGGTAAACAAATAAGACAAAAAGTTACATTGGAAATAAATTTTAGGGGTTGCGTTTTCCACCCCTTACAACCATGGGGTAAACCATATAAGTTACTGGCTAAGTGTCTTTTTGGTAGTATAAAACGTCAGGTTAATTTCAATATTGTAACATTTTCAGTGCTTGTGAAAAAAATTGTTATACAAATTTTATGTACCCCCTTCAAGGGGCTGTATCTTAACAAGGGATGCCCCAATGAAATTTCTTTATATGAAAGATCCTATCTTTTTTTCGATGAGGAATCACCTCCTTAAATGTTTTACACTTATTCAGTTACACCCCTGTATAAGCAAATCAATGAGAAAACCCAATATCAAATGCATCAAATTGAAATAATTCAATTGACAACATTCTTATAGTGTTGAGTAAAAAGTTGATGAAAGTTGAAAGTTGAAAGTAAAACCCTGCCATAGGGAAGTTGGAACTTTGTAAAATATTAAAAAATGTTATGAATTATATTATAGAAAATCCAGAATTATTTCTGGTTTGAAGATCATGTAAATTTTTATCAATATCTACTAAAAAGTTATACATTTCGCTTATCTTCTATCAACGCAATCGATTGATTGTAAAATATATGATATTTCAAAAAATAATCTTTTAGATGTATTTCTTTCAATTAATAATATTTCAGAAGAATATTAGTCAATTTTACGGCCTTCTTTGAAAACATGATTACTGAGAGCACATCTCTCTGGATGTAATCTACTATCACTTTTATGGGTGTTGATTCTATCTGTAAGTAGCCTTGACGTTTGACCAATATATCAATTACTATATTTTGAACATGGAATGGAATAGATTATTTGAGATTGGAAGTTCATAGAAGTGTTACCCTTAAGTTTTGAGAAAAATTTATTGATGGTTATTATGATTCTGAAAGCATGTTAACCAATTTTTTTTCATTTTACGTTAATCTATAGAAATATTTTGTGATCTATTCCGTAGACACCCATTCACTATTGTTAATATCAGAATTCATTATCTTATTTCAGCATAAACAACGATTCCACGAAATGCGGGCTCCAACCCAAGCCGAATGCGTGGGTAGCTCATTCTAAAGACCCGGCAGGCGTGGGGTATCACTCTGACGTCATCACTATACCGGACGTGACGAGTTATATTGATTTTCGCCTCTCATGCTTGCTAGCTGCAAACTATTCGCTCGCTTTTCCCGCTCTTTCAGAACAGAAAATGTTTTTTTCTAATATTACGTAACCTGTTGAGCAGTTCACTAGTAAAGTGAATTCAAGGAAAGCTAAAACAGAGAAAATAGATTTCACAATATACCATATTACCAATGAGGAAGTGTCAATTTTGTCTGATCTTCCTTGTAAACTCACAAAATACTTCGGATTATCTCTTTCATTGAGAATAGAGTGTGGTACAGATGCATAAAATATTAACGGGAATTGTCTTACCTTGCAATACAGCCCTCTTCCAAACTTCACTTGGCAGACTGATTTCAGATTGTTGATAGATAGTTTACTATTGAATTACACCCATGAAATCACTCCATGTCGATAATAATACTAATAATAATAATAATATTGGAGTCCTTGGTGGAATGATGTCCTCTCTACTCTCGAATCTTAAAATCATACCGGCTTGCCGCACTAAGGCAGAAATCTTAGCCGCACAGATACAGAAGGCTGTCATTCTTGGCTCACTACGCTTGCTCAGGGCACATGATTCTCGGACCCAATGATCACTTACCCCACGGTGTGGGGAGTGGTCATTGGTAGATTATGCTGGCGCGCCCTCCCGAATGTATCGGGGCTTCGGGGGATAGGGCCTGACCAGCGCACACTACGGTGAGAAAAAAATAATAATAATAATGACACTTATTGGTGGAAAAAACTACCAAGCACCCACCGCCATCTGGCCAGAGTTTTCAACTCATGGCTGGATGGATTCCGGATTAGTTTGTCGAGGGGCGGACCGTTCTTATCCCCAAAAGCGTAGATTTGTCGATTCCTAAGAATTACAGACCGATAACGTGCTTGAATTCGTGGTATAAGTTGTTTACAAGCATCTTATACACACGAATACTCACCGTAGTTGACCGAGTGTTCGAACGGATATATGAGCAGAGAGGGTCAAAGAGAGGAGTCGATGGATGTAAAAAGAACCTGCTCATTGATAGATGTGTAACGCAGGACTCGATACAATACAAGCGTAACCTCTCTATGGCCTGGATCGATTACCGTAAGGCATTTAATACAATTTCGCATGAGCTCATCTTGCATTTGCTCAGATGCCTTGCGGTACCCGACAAAATAGTGATACAGAGTGTTCCATTTGAAAAATCAAAGTTGCTACTGCTTTCTAATAGAAGCGGCAACACCGCATTGTCAAAAATATTTTAGTTGGCTAGAGAATGTCCGAATATGCCCTCCATTAAATTTTCAAAGTGATCCGTTGTCTGGTTCACCAGAAACGTCTAGTGTACCATCCACCGTGAATCAGCCTGTATACATATGCTATTTTTTCACGTTTTACTACGCGTCTGACGTTGTTGTGTAAAGTCACATAGTACTGTCTAGCTGCTACTGTCTTTTCTTCAAGATATTTGGCATGAGCTCTATCACGGGTTTTCATCATCAATTTGATACTATAAGTTATATACGGGGATGCTTTATATTTTCTGTTCACAGTGCAAATTGGAGCATGTTTGTCAAAAAGCATAATGATGCATTCGTTGAGAAAATTTACTTTGGAATTAATATCTTGCATAGTCACAATATCACCCCATGGTAAGTTACCAGCATCTTGAGAAAAATTTCATGATTGAAATTTTGGAAATTTCTACAAAGAATCAAGTTATCATAAATATATTCACATTCGAAATCAATATCGCAAAATACCATCAGGTGATCAGTTATGCCATTCATATCAAGTGTATTAGAATTTCTTATCATTACTTCCTTACTAATGCAAATGAAATCAATCAGAGTTCCAGAAGTTGTTGTTATCCGAGTAGAATTTTCTACAATTTAATTCATATCGAAACAAGAGCAGTGAATAGTTGAGTATCGCGAGGGTCACAGTTTAACAAATTAATATTAATATCATCAACTAACACCATAGCAGATGTTTCCAAATACACTCGTTCCAGTACATCACCCAACTCCTGCATACAGTCCTCTACATTCGTTCCTGGTGGTCGATAAACAACTCCGCAGGATACTTTTTGTTTGTTTATATTGACTATAATCCATAGCTGCTCTAGCCCCTTAAAGGGGGTACATAAAATTTGTATAACAATTTTTTTCACAAGCACTAAAAAAGTTACAACATTGAAATTAACTTGACGTTTTGTACTACCAAAAAGACACTTAGCCATGAATTGATTTGGTTTACCCCATGGTTGTAAGGGGTGGAAAACGCAATCCCAAAAATTTATTTCCAATGTAACTTTTTGTCTTATTATTTGTTTACCATTTGAAAATGCATCTCCGATAGCATGTTTCATTCTGAACAAAAAATGTCTCTTGGGTTTTTTGCCCAAAATAAACCAGTTAACAGCAAAAAATTATTTTAGGAACAACTACAGAGATACATCGTCATAAATGCGAAAATATGAAACTAATCTATCTAGTAGGTCGCTATTAGCCATAGTGACAATTAAATTGGTATGACGCTGTCAGTTTGTGAATTTTAGAAATTGAATTAATACTAATTGTGTGTTGTTGTTCTGTTCTTAATTTGTTACTTTTTCGATCACCAAGTGAAGATGATCACTTGGTGATCGAAACACGTGTCGAGGTGTTAAAAATAACGATATGGTGTTGGGAAAAAACTCCAGTAATATTCAGTGAGGCATATGTTCAACTTTTAAGAGAAGTACATCCAGTGCTGGTGGAGGAAGTTTCTTTGTTTCTTATGCATGATGGGGCTCCCGCCCATTTTAGTCAAGTAGCACGTAAGCATTCAACTTAAACATATGCAAATCAGAACTGGCTCGCTCGATCCCCGGATCTCAATCCTCTCGATTTCTCTATTCGGAGCCATTTACAGCATTTGGTTTATCGTACTCCTATTCGTGATATAGAGGACTTCAGAAACCGCATCATCGATGCGTGCAGGATAATAAGAGAGACTCCAGGAGACGTCTAGACGCATATGTAATGTCTGAAGGTAGACATATTGAACATTTACTATGATTTCTACATGTTGTGTGTTTTGTTATTAATGAATTAGTTTTGTTTATTACCCTTTAATCGTTTAATGCAGGTACTAACTACAAAATAACAATAAATCCAGTTCGCATTTATGAAGATGTATCTCTGTAGTTGTTCGTAAAATAATGTTTTGCTGCGAACTGGTTTATTTTGGCAAAAAACCCAAGAGAAATTTTTTGTTTAGAATGAAACAAGCTATCGGAATTTAATTTTTAAATAGTAAACAAATAATAAGGCAAAAAGTTACATTGGAAATAAATTTTAGGGGTTGCGTTTTACATCCCTTACAACCATGGAGTAAACCAAATAAATTTCTGGCCAAGTGTCTTTTTGGTAGTACAAAACGTCAGGTCAATTTCAATATTGTAACTTCATCAGTGCTTGTGAAAAAAATTGTTATACAAATTTTATGTATCACCTTTAAGGGGCTGTATCTTAACAAGAGATGCTCCAATGAAGTTTCTCTATATGAAAGATGAGAAATCACCCCCTTGAATGTTTTACACTCATTCAGTTACAACCTGTATAATAGGCTACAGTTTGGAAAAACATTGAAATGTTTCAAAAAGTATCACAATTTTTTCGAATATTGTATAAATGCATGTTTCTAATGTGGACTATTTATTTGAATTCAGTCATTAGAAACAATTCTTCAATTTTCAAGTTTCATTCAAAACAAAATGTTCCCTTCAAAGACGGCAAGTCGGACGCAAACAAATAAAAAACTTTCCTCTCACCTTATTAGATCTGAGTGTAACTTTTCCACCACATCTGGCGCAGCACCTTATGGAACAATAGTTACAAATATGTCCGACGCCATCTGCGAACTTGGTCTTGAGACAAATGTGACATGTAGCGTCCAGCTCCACCCCGGCCTTTTTCTGTTGTTCGTTTCGGGCTCGTATCGTCTCCTCCAATATTTGGACCTCATCGGCTTTCCTCCTGAAAACAGAGTTATATTTTATTCGAGTTATAAGTTTATACAAACTGATTCATTTATTCTTTTTTAGAGCTTAGAGTCTCACGTGTCCCGCCGAAAACGGTTTGTACAATATAATGGTTTCAAAACAGAATATCATAAAGCAAATATCGGTATACTATACCGGGTGTCCCAGAGCTTTAAGACCAGCAGATATCTCAGTCACCTGCAGAAAAAAATTGAAAAAAATATGTATATCATAGAAGACCACCAGCACTTTCATGTAGCAGAGCAAAATCCATCCCCTCGCGAGCAACCCCTGCGAAACCACCCCTAACTTTTGTTTTTCAAATGGCAACCCCATGTTGTTTNTTCTTGGGGGTTGTTTACCAGGGGGTGGATTTTGCTATGCTGCATGAAAGTGCTTGTGTTCTCCTATGATACATATTTTTGTTTTAATTTTTGTTCTGCAGGTAACTGAGATATCTGCTGGCCTAAAAGCTCTGGGACACCCGGTAGAGTTCTAAGTTGGGTCCATAATTAATTTCACGGCACATCAATGGAATTGATGTGTATATCTCTCAAATCTAAAAGATCCATTTTAACCGATGATTTTGTAGCCCGCAAAAAGCTAGTAAGAAATGGAAGTCGCTATGACGACCAAGTATTCGGCTCCGGCTAATTCTAGTGGAGGTGGGAGCGGGTTGTAACAAAGATGTCTCAAGTGTTTGGGCGCCAAGTACCTTTAACCCTCGAATACTCAATCAACTACCAATCACAAAGTACCCAATTAATTGGAGTTTGACTTCAAAAATATCGCAATAATAAAAAAAATTAATCTCGCTGGTGAATTAACGCTTTACTGATAACAATAAGTTCTTTTTCTAGTCAATATACATGGGAAGGGCGCAGAAATTAATGGATGGATAGTTATCAGCACCAAAATTAAGATAATGACCGCCGCTAGCTCTAGGCCCGAAGCGAAAGGCACATAAACTGATGATCTCTTACTATTCAACACCGTTACCGATTAATTTCCGCAAATAACAAATGTGAAAGTTGGAATAATACAATAAATTTGACAACAACAAAAAAAATCAAAGTCTTAAGAATAACTCAAAATATTTTATCCCAGTTAAGAGTGATACAGGTAGCAGTCTACTTGCGTGACGCCCGTACAGGCGTAATATCTTGAAAATCCCCTTTACTACAGTGCTGGACAGAAAGTCTATTTCGGTTCCTCTCCTTTTAAATTGATAGTTCTGACTCTTCAGCCTTCAACGGTCTTCAGCAGGAAGTAGACAGACTTCCACGACCGGTAATAGAATGGTCATTCACGTTGGAACGTAAAAAAACCCTTTAAGAAATAAAGTAGCAATCAAAATTCAAGAAGGAAAAATCTTGAAATGAGTTAGTACCCAACCATGCGTCGTAACGCAAATTGAAATCAATGAAACCAACAAGAAAATAATTATTTAGATTTGCTTCAATTTTGTTGATCTGGCAACCCCGCGAGGCCAAAAATTAATTGAAACTAATGAAACCTACCATAAATTAACTAAATACGAAAATACCCGTAGATTTTATGTTTCTTCGGAAATTTGGCAACATGGCAAAATGATAAATTATCTAGGAGGTGAATTACAATATTGAAAAAAAATTATTCAAGTCATATTTCAATTGGTAAATTTTCGTTTTGTGGACACCCGGCGATTTTGAAAAACTGTTTGACTGTACTTACGTATTTTGATGCGTAGATTACGAATCCGAAAGAAAAAAGCGGCGCTCTCCCTTATTTAAAAAGTTATGGCCCTTCAAAGTTCAGAAAAGGGCAACTTTTCAGCAATCTTTTTAACCAAATAAACTATTTAAAAACACAAGCATTTATTTATTAGGTCATCTTTACACCTTATTCCTCCTTCTTTAACACTCTTCTCTTCAATAATCAACATTTTTCTTATAAAAATGTTAAAAAATGTACGGAGCTGCTTTTTGGTTATATATCACTGTATTTTACGTTTTCAAGGTTAATGATATGGTTGGTACGACTGATGCAGTCAATATTCCTTCATTCTTTAGCTCGTAAATTGGTTTTTGACACTTTTCTTAAAATTACAGCAAATGTACTGAGCTTTTTTCTTCGGTATTTTCATAATCCGCTTTCTATTGCATCTATCTATACCATAAAGTGTCATAATTCAATTTGCACTCTTCATTGCAATTAGTACAACGTATTGTTGCTGCAAACACTCCTACTTGAACCAAATATAGAATTAAATTATTTGTTACTTTCACTAAATTATGAATTTCGTTCAAATTCATTTTGTATTTTTCTCTCACTTCAAACTAAAAATTGAAATCTACGAATTTAAAATAGTAGGTGACGACAAATACCAACTGCTTTTTTCTGAAATGTCACTAGTATCTAACCTACAAACATAAGAGTGTCACCAGGAGGAGCATTCGTTTTTAAATTGAGTTTTTTTTATAAGAAAAATGTTGATTATTGAAGTGAAAAGTGTCAAAGAAGGAGGAATAACGTGTGAAGGTGATCTAGTGAATAAATGCTTGTGTTTTTAAATAGTTTATTTGGTGAAAAAGAGGGCTGAAAAGTTGCCCTTTTCTGAACTTTGAAGGGCCGTCACTTTTTAAATAAGGGAGAGCGCCACTTTTTTCTTTCGGATTCGTAATCTACGCATCAAAATACGTAAGTACCTATAGTCAATTTTTTTTTCAAAATCGCCGAAACGAAAATTTACCTTTCAATTTGTGTGAACACGAAACACGTAGTTATTCATCCCCACGAAATCCCAATAATAATGAATTATAAAAAAATTAAGTTGACTCAAGAAAAACTCAGACGCAGACAAAACTTTTTTCCCAACTATCTTTTACACTAGAGTTGCAGTGTTTGAAAATAAATAATACTTTTGCTACAAATTCTAACAGTATATACCACAAGAAAACTAAATTTTTTTTAAATGAAAGAAATTCATCAAATACAAGTTTTGGGACACATCAAACTCAGTGAACGATAAGTTAATCCATTTATGTTTTCATTGAAATGAAAACAAAATATTAGAAACATACCTTGGAGCTGGCAAGGGTTTTTCTCATCAATAGGGGTCAACGAAAATATTCTGGAAACAAATTTTCCTAGTTCCTGGTTTTCTTAACGATCTCAGTAATGATTCGTCGTATCTATCCTTTTGGTGCTATGCCCAACAAGACCTTGATAACGTAGGGTTGTGAAGTTTGAATGATCCTCGGCGAGGAGAATGAAAACCATTTGCAAAGTACTACAATACCCAATATACACAACGTGAACCAATTTTCACTTATTGAAACCTCGGAAAATAATCCTCACAAGAGAAGTCACCAATGACAAATTATCCAATAGGTTTCTAACAAACTTCATTTACAGCCACCTCAAAAACAATAATGGCTTTTCAAGGTGACTCCGAATACTTCGCATTTTCTTTCAGGTAGGAAAAAGAAAATCGAACGCATGTCTCTACGTCACTAATTATTGAATCAGAATGGATCACGGAAAAAGAGTACTTTCGGTCGATTGATAATACCAAATTATGCGATCGGACCTGAATCAACTGAGACACGGATAATACTCAGAAACAATTAAATTCCATTTCTTTGGAGTTATCTAGGTTATTTATCCAATTTAGAAATTATTCCCAGTGGTTATTGCCATAACCACTGTTTAGGCCATACTTTGTACTGATTCCAATTTTTTTTGTATTACGATTTTTTTTCGGGGTGCCAAAGAAGAGCCATATTTTTTTTTAGTTTTGCTTATATGTGCACTCAGTATTTTTGACCATTTAATAAATTCTTCCTCTTATTTTACATTTTTGTACATACATATGACAAAGTGCAGAAGATAAGCAGGGAAGAGGAATAAATGGGCAAACCTACAGAAGATCAAGTCTGTGCGTAGGGGATTAGACGGGGAGGTTCAATTGAGGTTCAGTTGCTAATGATAATATAACATAGTACATATATAGAATACAAAATACAAAATATCCAAATAAATAATACCTAAGTCTATAGTTGATAAAAGTAATATATATAATAATATAACATTAATTATTTGAAGAAATATAAGATAATGATAACATAACATAACGTAGTACATACAAGGAATATAAAAATATATAATATAAACAATCTATAGTTGATAAAAGTAATATATATATATAATAATATAACATTAATTATTTGAAGAAATATAAGATAATGATAACATAACGTAGTACATACAAGGAATATAAAAATATTTAATATAAACAATAAGTATATAAAATTAATTACTTCTAATTCAAAAATTCAAATAAGCTCAACCATGTTATCTAAATATATAAAAAATAGTTAAGAATTTATAAATGAATATGGACAGACGAGCAATAAGGGGTTTCTATAGATTATTTTCTACAATTCTATGGATTTCATTTCTTGGCGTGTTTTTAATAAAGTTTTTCAGTTCTCTTTTGAATGAGATCTTTGGCGATATTTGCTTCAGTTTTTGTGGAAGGGAGTATAAACATTTCGGTCCAAGATACAGGTACGCTCGTTGCATGATATTCTTTTCAGGTTTGATGAGGAAAAAATTATTTGCGTTTCTATACCTAGTGTTGTGGTGGTGTTCTATGGCTAGGAGCTCATATTTTCTAAAGTGTTGATAAATGGTAACCTTTAGGAAATACAGTTGACGTATATCTAACATTTTGGAAATTTTGAAAAGTTTTTCTGTTGGGTATCTTTTGGGTTTTCGGTAGATGGTTTTCAATATATATATTTGGGTAGTTTCGAGTGCTAATATATGAGTTCTCAAAGATGCACCCCATGCTATAATACCGTAGGTTAAATGGCTTTCTATTAGTGTGGAGTATATTATACGCATTTGTTCGGTGTTATAAATGGAGGTAAGAATCCTCATTTTATATAATATAGTTCTTAATTTTTTTATCACGAAGTTTATATGAACATCCCATTTCAGGTTGCTATC